CGCGACCAATTCGGCTGGCGGAGCGAATAGAACGTCCAACTATACCGACTACTCGTCCGAGTCTCATTCCCTTCCGTTTTTGCCCTCCTACGCTATGGAGCAGAACGCTGCGAATGTATCTCCTTCGTGTCCATCGGGCTACAACAGCAAACCGAGAATTCAAGATGACGTGGTGCAGTACGCCAATGGTATCCTGTACGAGCCGACGTTCGTGGTCACCAGAGCGGATGTGCACAACGAGCAGAGTCCTGTGAAACAGCAGAGTCAGTTGGACTCGTTGCCTCCCTATCCCGAGAGCGGGAACGTTTCTCATTCGAGGCAACCCAGCGAAGATTTTCCTCCCCCACCGTATCCCTCTATTCACTCTGTGTCCCATTCGAGGCAAGCGAGCGAGGACTTTCCACCTCCCCCGCCACCGATCGACGAGAGCTCTACGAATCACGTCCAGGAGAGTCAGCAACAGTACCAGCATCAGTATCAACAGCAGCAGCAGCAACAACAACAGTATCAGCAGCAGTATCAGCAGCAGCAATTGCAACAGACAGCCGTGTCAACGCAGCAACAACGTCAACAGGAATTGGACAATCAGCATATTATCAGTCTGTTGTCTCAATTGCAGCTGAAGAGGGATCAGATTATGACCTGCGACCCTTCCAGGGAGGAGAAGAGGCTCGAGGATCAGGAGGAAGAGGAAAAATCGTCCGGTGTGACCTGGCTGCGCGAGTTGCAAGCTAAACAGGCGGAGAGGAGGATGAAGAAACAAGGTCCATTCGAACAGGATACATCGAAGAGTAGATCGTCCGCTCCTAGCATACAAGGACCGACGATCGCTCGAAGAACGAGCGATCTGATGATGAACAGTCTTGGACAAAATTATGATCAGACTAGTCGCGACGTACCTGATTGTCCAAGAGTTGTTTCCTCCGTGAAAGACATGGCGGCTAGATTCGAGCAGATTAAGCTGCAGCCGGCGAAAACAGAACCCGAACAGAAGATCTCGACGAAGCAAAATTGCGTTTCTCCTTCGTTGATGGAGGGTTCTCAGGATGTACAGCACGAGGAGGAATCGAGGCCGATGAAACTTTCTACGGAAAATCTGGCGAACTTTACCAAAACTGAATCGAACCAGTCGATCATGAATTCGAGTTTCGAATCGAGCTCGAGTCAGAACAGTTTTATCTCGACCACAGCTCCGAGTAATATCATGCAAACGCAGCAAAGTGGATTAAACCAGGCCATCATGTCGATGTCTTTGACATTGCCACACGAGAATGGTTTGCCTATTGACTATCCCGAGGATGACATCAGCGAGGTTGCCATGCAGAATACTATTCAGAACACGACGATTCTTCCAAGCGAAGACGATATCGCGCCCAGGAAGGTGAAACGACGAATAGGGAAGAAAAAGAGCGTGTCGTTCTGCGATCAAGTCGTCCTCGTGGCTACTGCAGAGGACGACGAGAAAGACTCTTACATACCCAATCCCATCCTCGAAAGAGTTCTACGTTCGGCGATGAACAAACCGGAAACTGCCCAAGTTCTTCGAGAGATAAGAAGTCTTCAAGAAGCAGAGATGAATCGAGAGAATTGCGCCCCTACCAAATTTCAACAGCAAACTCTACCGTTAAAAAGTGAAGCTGACAGTGTTCCCGCGACCCCTTATCAGGATCAGTTAAGAAGTGTGAACCCAATACCTATCCCAGAAACTATTAAACCTCCTTTGGGAAGGCAAAATTCGAACGAATCTGTTGGATCGTTGTCGGACAAGAAATTGTGTGGTTCCTATGGCAACGAAGGACAAGATGTTGTGAGAGATAGTTACACAGGGCTTCCAAATGTTTCCAAACCACCCACATCCTACTCCCCTCAGCTTCAACAACAGATAAGATACTCTCAAAATGGATACATGCCATATTTGCAATCCCAGTCAACGTATCCTCAAGCACAGATGTCTCATACCAGAAATCAGGGCATTCCTCTGTCCCAAACCCAAAAACCAGCCAGCCCTTACCCCACACAAATTCAATATACTCAGAACAACGTGCAGCAACAAAAATCAATATGCCAAAAAAGTACCTATCAGACTTACTACCAACTCGAGCAACAGCACAATCAGATGAACAAACAAATGTCCCAACAACAACAACAGCCAAACGTGAACCAGAGAATCATGAACCACAATGCTAGCCCTATAACCGTTCAACACTCGCAACAACAATTCGCATACCCGCCAACTCAATCCCCGAACCCATATCAGAACCAATACAGCCACAGTTCCTATCAAGGTTACTCCTACCAATCGGTTCCTCAGCACAATAGAATAAACCAACCACTTCCGCAGTATCAACCTCCACCCAATCCACCAACATCTTATCAACAACAACAACAACAGAATATGCAAAATTATCAACAAAGACACGATAATTATCAGAGATCACCGCAGAAGATCGATCAGCAGAACATATTGGCGCCCAATCAGACGTATCCAAACGCGTTGCAGAACGGTCAAATCCAGTCGAACATGAAATATCCAACTTATCAGCACCCTCCGGTTTCGAAGCAGAGCAAACAAATGCACTTCGTCCCTACGTCGAAGGGGAGCTCGACGGTGACCCAATCCTCCACGTCTTCTTTGCAGAAACCACCCACGGTCGGAGGCGTTGCCAGGACGGCGCCTTGCCATCTCTGCCGGAAGAAGCAGGTGACCGAACCCGCCATTTATTGTTCGGACTGCGACTTTTACATGTCCCGTTTCCGGCCAAAAAATTGATGTTCTCGTCATGAACTGTTATTATATAATAACGAAATAGAGAATCGATGAATCGATTAGATAGGTAGAAGATGATTTTTGTAGGACGTGTATAGATGAAGTATAAATATAGGATAGTAGTGTCTATGCTAAGCTTCTTTCTTTTTTTCTTTCTTTCTTTTTTTTTTTTTTTTTTTTTTTATTTATTTTAATTATAATATAGTATTGTTTATTCTAAGCTTCTTTCTTTTTTTCTTTCTTTCTTTTTTTTTTTTTTTTTTTTTTTATTTATTTTAATTATAATATAGTATTGTTTATTCTAAGCTTCTTTCTTTTTTTCTTTCTTTCTTTTTTTTTTTTTTTTTTTTTTTTTTTTTTTTTTTTTTGTATGTTGAACAACGATGTATAGAAAAAAACGAGCAATAATTACACGTAGAAAAAATATTTCTTTAAATATTCGAATTTGTTAAGTTTCGTTTTTTTCTCTTTTTTTGCTTGTTTCGAAGTGTGTGTTAAATCGTTATTTAAGCATACAAAATTTTAGAAAGAGTGATAAAACACTCTGTACGCTTTTGTACAAAGTTAAGTTAGTAGTAGTATCGAAGACCTTCATCGTGCAGCTATTGAATAGATTTACTCGTTGTACCATTGATCTTGTGTACTTACTTAGAAGATGTTTGTAATTTATAGATGGATTATGTAGAAAGAACTTTAGTCTCGTGTATTTTAGTATTTTACTATAACGTACCGAATATTTTTTGTTTTTTTTTTTTTTTGTATCCTTTGTATCATTTATCACTTCTCATGTTTTTTGTTGTATATAGATCGTTTCAAAGTAATGCTTAAGTTTTTTTTGTATAAAATCGATGTAAAAATCGAATTTTTAAAATTTTACAAGGAAGCGTTTCCGTTTCACGCATACAAATGTATTAAACTCCGCATCAATTCTACTTCGTTCAAGAGACAATTTTGTCAGAATTGTGATACTAGCCATGCTACAATAGAATTTTATCGTTTAAACGTAGATGGATCGCACAGTCGCAAAATCGTGAGAAACAACGGAAGCGTGGATATGATCTCTGTCTGAAGAAAAAAAAAAATAAATGTGAAGATTTATATTTTATGTTGATAGGCGTTAATGTTACGTATAATTATTGTGTACTTAACGATTGCGTTGTATTGTACGATTGTCTATATGTATTAGATCGATGTACAAATCCTCGTCCCCGATTTTATACGTTTTGTATGAGTATTTTGTTTTAAAAATACTTGATTTCCTTCCGTATGAAATTGAATAAAGCGCTGTCGAAATATTTCAACACACGAGATTCAGAATCATTTCACGCCTGAATAAATTAGTATTACTGCTAAAAAATAATGTGACAATGGAGTAAGAGAAGAAAATATTTTGAATAATTGAATAAATGAAAATTAAAAAAATTTTAAAAGAAGAAATTTTAATTTTCGTATTGATTCATAAATAGAAATATTTTAGTTTTAAATTTTATTAATATTCTATTTTAATATTTACAATTAAATTTATAATTTATAATTATAAATAAAATTAACAAAACTATTAAACTTAACATTTCAAAAAAGAGAATTTAAAAAATGTGCTTCAATTATTACTACGTTCATTTTATCGTTTAAAAAAAACAATAAAAAAAGATAAAACTTATCTTTGTATAATAAAATCTGCTAAACAACGTCATGTTATTTCTTTATCGAAACTTCGTTCATAATTTATTAATTTTGTATATAGTTTTACTAATTCCAGAACGTACACTTGTGTCGTCGATTCATTGGACTGTTTCGCGAGCATTTAAAAGTTTTGGAAAACGCGTCCATATTGGAAAGGGAACCTATAATCCGATACTTTGCAGGACTGTGCTCGTCTTTGTTCACCATATCTGCCTCGTATTCAGGCCTCGTCGAAGAGCACCAAGACTAAAATGGAATTGTGTTAATTAAATCGAGAAACATTTAAATTTTATATTTGTTGAGACATAATTAACACACGATAATGGAGAGACGATAAATAATTATTTCTAGTCGATTTTTAGATTGAAATTTGACTGTTAATATTCGAAATATTAAAAAAAAAAAAAAAAAAAACGAAATTGTCTATATTGTAGATATTTCGAAATTATTCCAATACTTAATTAAATAACTTACATTCGCAAAGGATAAAAAGAAAAGTTCGTCGTTGCTAATATTTTCTAAACCTGGTAATTTGGTTTGTGGTTTTTGTTTCGCTATTTTCTTGTACGTTGAATAAGCAATTTGTATACCAATTGAATCAGCCATATTTTCATCTTCGGTTAGATATCCATTCAGCTGAATTGTAAATAGTACTTATTAGTACTTTTTTTTATTGAATTTAAATATTTGATATATGTGTATTTTTTCAGATAACTATTTTCTGTTATAAAAAATCAATTAGAATCTTCTAAATTCTTGTCAATTGCGTAACTTGAGTGGTTATATAATATTAACAGAGTAATTCTCAAATGAAGAGATAATCAATATAGTTTTAATCGATTAAAAAATCGTCGAAACTATGCGAAACTTTGCATCAAGTGTCGATGAAAGAGCCTCACCTTAAAGAGTTCCCCATTTTCGTCTATGACATCAAGCACATAATTGTTATACTGATTGACAAAACACATCGATTGTTCCTCGAATTCTTCTGATATATTTTTGGAATTCCACGGAATTTTGTAACCCTCTTTATCAAATCGTATTCCTGAATAGACAAATCTCTGTTTATAGGAATTTTTTAAATTTATCTATCGAACAATGATTTAAAATCATTTTATAGAATTACCTTCGTTATCGAAACTGTGAGATAATTCATGTCCAATTACAAATCCGATCGTTCCATAATTAATAGCGCTGGTAATTTGTATTGTTAATAAATTTATATATTAATTTAATTATATAAAAGACGCAATGATGAATTGAGATAAGATATAAAGAAGCTTACTCTGGTAAAATATCCGTGAAATAAGGATCTTGCAACTCAGCTGCTGGTATAACTGGAATAATGATAAATTTTAATAAGAAAAATTTTAATTCTTAAGTAAAAATTAATTTTTTTTAGTAATACGCGTGATATATTAAAAAAATATAAAATATAAATTTTATCTTTTTTTTAATAGTACTCACGTATCGAATTGATTATTTGAGCATAAAACGCATTAACTGTTATAGGAAAATCTAACCATCTGAAGGATAATAATAAAATCAAATGTAAATTAAATATTTTAAGCGTTGAATATTTAATAGATATAATATTTTCTTGTTTGAGAAAAACTCACTTATCTCTCATAACAGTCTGCCTGAATTCCGTCAGACTTTTTAACAATTCGTTCCTTTCACAATTTAAAATATTTTGAAAATAATCCGATCCTATTTGAAGCTGCAAATAATTGATAAAAATCATGTCTATATAAACATATATCATATTGCATATTTGATTATATTATAATTGCGTTAGAAGATGAATACTCCATCGTAATATCGAATAACAGCAGCATTGTCCTTATACCAATCTGGATATCCAATTTGCGTTTGTAGATTATCCAACTTTTCCATCAGCTTCTCTTTTATGGAATTTGATAGCCAATGTGTTTGACCTATGCGATGTCTTAATTCTTCTTTCATTCCTTCAACCATTTTTGTCGTCTTAAATTGATATATAAAATAGAAACTTTTTTTCTTTCGTGTTTAAAACCAATCTCAAACAAATATTACCTCGTTAATAACGTTATCAGAGATGTATTCCTTAACGAACATGTAAGAAACCGCATTCTTCATTCTAATATTGTTCGCACAAATTTCCCATCTAAAAGTTAATCGAAAAAAATCAAAATCATTTTTTCCAAACATCTATTCACGTTCATAATTTAAAGGCACACAGAATAATAACAAAAATTTGATCTCTTTCAACGAGTATCAAATTTTCAAAATTATTTTTCTACGCGATGCAATATCGTGAAGGTATAAAAAAAAAAAAAAAAAAAAAAAAATACCGTGGAATAAAATTGGACACGTTATACGACGACAATGACATCTCGAACTTTATGTCCCTCATCTCTTGCGTAGTGTACAACAAAAATTTGTCGATCATGTTCCATTGGATGTAGTTCACTAGAAACGAGGGAAACAATAAACAATGACGTAGTGATAGTGTACGAGTCGAAAGAAAATCTCGAAATTGATCAACTTTTTAATCAACTGGAAATGCAACAGCCAAACATAAATTATCGTACACGATTTTTGTAATTACCCAACACACGTCGAGATGTCTTTCCAAGTAAATTGGCCAGCTTGTGAAGAAATATTGGATTGTACACTATAATAGGTTCGGATGAATTTATGTCGATATTAGCCACTTTAAAAGAGTATTGTATCACTTCCAAGAAGTCTATCTGCAAATATTACTTGTAAAACACCTTAGCCTGTATCGAGTGTCACGATTGCTCGTTATTCGAATTGTCTATCGATGATTGATGCATCGTGACGATCGATACTTGTGAATCAAAGCAATTAAGAATTGAAGAATAGCTATTGGCTATGAGGAAGAATAATATTCACGAATACAAGAAAGTGTGTCAGTTTGGCATTGGAATTGAAATGAGATTTGATCTTGGAATTAAACAGTGCAGAAAGCGTTTCGAGGCGAAGGTTTCAGATTTATTCGTTTAGAATAATTATTAGGATAATTATTTTTTTACCTTTGCCGTAGATGTATTAACGCCAGAATCATACCATCTCTGCAATTGTTCGATCGTCATTCTTTCGAAATTATCACTAACCGTGTGACTTTCCTTCCCATTTTCGATGATCTGTGATAAAAAAACAAGAGATATTACTCTTCATCGCGTTTATTGACGGACGCGAATCATTAATCCAAAAAAGTTGGTCACCTCCAACAATTCAAGCTCGAAATATAACATTTCCACTATATCGATAATTAAATGTCGTCGATTCAGAGTGTATCCTTTTTCCCTTGCGAAATTTTGAATCATACGAAATATACCTATCGTGAATTGATCGTCATCGTATAAAAACATTTCGAACATGTTCACAAACAGTCTTTTTCTCGACAGAGGATATTCGGTGGCTTGATCTATCTGCAAATACAAAACTTTTCTCGGATAAATAATTCGTGGAAATTTTTTAACATTATCATTATTATACATTTCATTGTCGCATTTTATATCTTACTGTCAACACGTAGCGTTTCGTATTGTTCAAATCGATTTCGTATTCGAGATTGTAGAAAGCGCTGTTTCCGATTAATATCATGTATTCCTTGTCGATTCTCTGCCAAGGTATTTTATCAGGATCCCACTCGTTGAATGGCATGGCTACAGGCCATCCTCCAGTGCGATCTAGGATCTCTTGAATCGGTTTAATGCCTCTCTTTTCGATCGCGTCTGTCGAAAGATTGGAAGAAAAATTTGGGCAAAGCTTTTTCAAAGGAATACATCCCTCAGCACTTGTAATTATTCGAACAGAATCCATTACTCGAATCGATCCTCCAAGAATATTACTTTTAGAATTCTTACAGCTAGAGAATTAAAATTCACAGTTTATTCAAATGAGATCTCGAATGGCGTAATTTATCCACTAAAATGTTTATCAATTCTTGAAAATATGGGAATTGATCGTATATACCGCGTATATAATATCAAATAATTAGTTCGATCAAGTAATTAAAAACTTCTTCTGTTCATCTATCTAAGCGAGAAAAACATATTTTAATTTTCATTGCATAGTTAATAACAAACTGTCTGTGCAAATAGATTTAATTGCATGTACACGGATGTAAATTCTCTCGAATAATTATGCACGTGCTAAAGTTTATTCTCTCATATCAACATCGATTGCGATTTTCCTACCTACATCCATGCAGGAACGATAAAATTTCTTGGCCATTTTAACCGGCAAGATATCGCTTGATTTGTCGTCTTCCGAAAGGATTTCTTCATAGGGACAATTCAAGAATGTATAATTTATAAATAAAATAAACGAATGAAATTGTCAAATTCATGAATTATTTAAAGTTTCTTTGGTATAAAAAAAGTATAAAAGAATAGATGGAAAAAATAATTTCTTGCCTCTGATACGGTTATTCGTTTTATTCGCTTTAATCTCATCCTCAGACCACTCAACTTTGTTGTCTGGTATGGGATTGTGCTTGCTCCACGAACCACAAGCATACTGGTAGAAATTCTCGCAAGGGTCCACCGTGGCATCTCTATTTTCCTCAATTTTTTTCGCTGGGATAATGAATCGATAAAATTGATCA